CTTCGTGAAAGCAGCCGGGAGTCAAAGCTTCGGTCAGGAAACCCCACCTTAGTTAGCCACCTCATTCGGCATACTATCTACATGACACTCGATGAACGTTCTCATGCTGGCAAGCATGGCGACCGTTTTATTGGTTGGCCTATACTTTCCCGTCAGGCCATGCTCGGAACGTACGAAGCCATTGTCGAAACGCTTTTTGTAGTTGTAAAATGTATTACGCGAGACACCGAGTACATTGCAGTACGCCCTGATGCATATTGAACGTTCCAATTCCACATGGCAGACACGTTTCTGTCCATCCTCATTAAATGTGAAATCCTTAATACTTTTCATCCACCGCTCGGCTCGCTCTCCCGGACTGTAACTGTATAGTCCTTGTCTAACCTTTCGCACTTCCTTAGACGACACGTCGTAACAACATCGAGTCTTGCAACATGCCATGTCGCGCACCATGAAAAGTCTTTTTTCGGACAACATATTTCTCGCTCTTTTATACTGCTCTTTCCTCCTAGCGTTCCTATTAGCCATGCTATACCTTCGTCTTTCGCCTGGCAGAGGTGCGGGCAAAATCAGAAGTATCGCTATTCTCTCTGGATCACCCCTGCCAGACGATTCCGATCCAGACTGGCTCTGGCTTGGAATCGCATCATCACTTCGCATATGCGTTGGACTCGCCCGTGTTGTGGAAAGCTCCTCCGAAGAATAGTTGGTGGCAACCAACTTCGTAGTACTGGAGCTAGCGGGAAGCAAAGGTCCACTGGAATAGGACCGTTGTCCAGACGAGTAATCAGTGGCCACCAACCGCTCACTCTCGTCATCAAATGATGCGTAAGAAACACCTATTGGCACGCAACTGCTGTGCGCCAAAGCTGTGGGGTGCACCTCGCCAGAATTGTGGAACTCTATCCGGGAGGTAGACGGTTCTTCGCCCGTGGACGTTGTTGCCAATTCTGTAGGCAGTTGGATGCAACCTCCAAAGCTCTCACGAAAAGCGAGATTTCGTTTTCTGGGGAAATCTGCAGCTGACTGTTGGAACGGCGAACTGTCCGAAGAGGTCGTCGGGGCCAACTCCAGGTGTTGTAGCTGGCAATGCAAGTTGACTGCTTGTCCAGTTTCCATAGCCCGGTTCATGCGGCCGTTTGCCGAGCCTTCTTCAGCGCCGTCATGCAATTGTCGGTGCAGCGGATGCGATTCCCGTCAGCGCAATGGATTATTCTCTCTTGTGCGGGTTGAACGGGTCATTCGAATTTGTGTCCACACCCTGCAAAACAGCGGAGCAAACTGTAAGCACGGTCAGATTTACGCGTTGAGGGCACAAAGTTCGCCGGGATCCGAATTTGGCGGGTGCAGGAGTAGCAAGGAACCTGTTTTTGCGCGGCTTGTGTCAGTGGAAGGTAGCGCCAGTGGGTGCACACAAGGAACGCTATGTTTGGGCGAACAGAAGGAAGGCTCTGTTGTCGGTGAACGATAGCACGCGCAGAACAAAGGGTAGTGGTGGATGCACTACCACACAATTCGGTGAAGCGCGACCCCAAACTGACCCCTATAAACTCGATTCTCACCATCGTCTAAGCGAGCTCGTGCAGTTTTCCATTCACAGGTACTAGCGCAGGAGCTTATCGAACTCGGACATTCCCACTGCGTAGAGAAGAAAAATGTAGAAAAGGATGAAATATCCCCCCTTTAACCCTTCCAAACATTGATTCGGCCAGTTGAGAAGGCGACCCCCAATTCTGCGACAAGACTCCGCACACTGCGACGGTCAAAAACCTTGGGGGGCAAGAAAGATCGTGGGCGCGAAAAATTGCTCGCCTACATAAATGCCCTCGAAAGGGTTAATGGGGGTTGCCGACGGTGACAATGGTCGTGTCCCTTATTTTCGGCAACCCCCATGAACCCCTTGAAGGGCATTTCAGAGGGCGAGCAATTTCTCGCACCCACAGTCCTCTCGCAATCAACTCACACTCGAAGCTCCAGGTGCCACGCAAAGGACGGATAGATTCGCGTCGATCCTCAAAGTCCGCCAGGATCCGAACTTGGTGGATTCGCCTGCATTTGTAACGGGTGGATGGCGTTTGCACAGAAGCAAGCGATGCTCGGGCGCACCGCATTTTGGGGCGTCGATGAACGAAGATCCACGGCACACCGGAAATGAACCCGGCCAGCGATACCGTCGTCATCCCCAATAAACCCCTTTCAGAATAACTCACAAGGCGAGCAATTTTGCGCACTACCAGGCCGCCGACATTGAAGATAGACGGAGAAGTCCAAGCCGTTGAAAACAACGGTCAGATTCACGCGGAGCCTCGAAGTCCTTCGGGATCCGAATTTGGTCGGTGCTGGAGTAGCAAGGAACCTGTTTTTGCGCGGCCGGTGTCAGTGGAACGGAGCGCCAACGGGTGCACACAAGGAACGCTATGCTTGGCCGCACAGAAGGAAGGCTTTGCCGCTCTTAAGTTGTCGTTGTACGATAGCACGCGCAAAGCAAAGGGCAGCGGTGGATGCAGCACGACAAAATCGGGCGTAGCGCGACCTCAAACTGACCCGTAGTGCAAGAGTTCATCGACCTCGAACATCTCTACCGCGCAAACAAGAAAAATGTAGAAATTGATGAAAGACCCCCCCTGCAACCCTTCCAAACCCCGATTCGGCCAGTCGACAAGGCAACCCCCGATTCACGCGCCGGTAACGTCGACGTGCGAAAGCGTGAACCGGAAACCACCTAGAAACACGAGCATGTCTGCGACAAGAATCCGCGCACAGGGACGGTCAAAACCCTCTGGGGGCAACAAAGATCGACGGCACACCGACAAGGGACACGGCCCCTGTCACCGTCGGCAACCCCCACAAACCCCTCTAAGGGCATCTCAGAAGGTGAGCAATTTTTCGCACCCACAGTCCTCGCGCAATCAACTCACACTTGAAACTCCAGGCCTCATGCAAGCACTTTTGCGTGCCCGGAGGCCTCTGATGATCAGAACACACTCGACAGTCGTGGCCGTCGAAAAGGGCGGTTAAATTTACACGGGACCTCAAAGTCCGCCGGGATCCGAACTTAGCGCTTGCTGGACTGGCTAGTAACCGTTTTGCGCGGGGGACGACGGATATTTGGATGACCGGTGTGGAATTGCACAGAAGGAACGCTAGGCTTGGTGGCATGGTCAGGGAGGCCCTGCTGCTGCTCACAAGTGGTTTTTCCAACAGAGCACGCACAACAGAAATGGTCGTCACAGGTGCACCACGTCGGAAATCGGTGCAGAGCGGCCCCCAATAGACCCCCATGGACCCCGATTCTCCTCATCGACAAAGCGAGCACTTGCGATGATCTTGTCGCAAATGTTGCCATCCTTGATGACAATGACTGCAAGCACAAAAAAAACATGACCACGGCTGGAGGACCCCCGATTAGTACCGCAGACAAGGCGAGCCCGCACTCGGGCAATGGCAGGTTCCACAGCCAGGAACAGGGGACCACGAACGGGTGCCAACCACGAAGTCCGCCTGGATCCGAACTTCAGATCGATTGCCGTGTTCGACCACGAGCATTAAACACTTTGTTTTTGCTGGGGTCCCGTTGGTAGGACTGTTTTTTTATGGCAACGCCACCGAAAGAACAATCATGCAACCAGGACTCTAAAAAGATCCATGCAAACCGTAAGCGTCTTATTTCAGCGACACGGTCGAAACAACAATAATCATCCGAGCATCTTATTTCAGCGACGCGGTCAAAACAACAATAATCATTCGAGCAGCTCGCGACTTCCCATGCTTCAGATTGCAAGTCTGTCGGGATCCGAACTTCGTCGCACGCTAACAACTAGCATGACGTTATGAACTACCGACCCCACGCCCGAAAGCTGGAAACTGTGTCCCGCAAAACGTAATCATCAGCGCAACCCAGGATGGCATTGTGACTGCGAACGCGAAACCAATAACCGCCAAACAAAAAACGTGGAGTCGCGTGTGAAAGCCTGCCGAAATGGGAACTTCGGATCCCGGCGAACTACAACAATCATGCGCTATTTTCGTACCTGCGCGTGCTCTCCCTGCGGCCGCGCGACGGCAACAGATTGCCGCTTTCGCGAGAGCAATGTGCATGATTGCTCTAGTTTGCCAGGATCCGAACTTCCCATCTCGCCAGGCAACCACACGCCACGCGTCGTTTTTTGTTTGGCTGTTGTTGGTTTCGTGCTTGCAGTGACAATGGCGACCCCCCTTGCCCCGATGACTGAGACGTTTCTCGGAGGCGGCCGGGTTGTTCGTTATTGAACGAGGCCATGTTTTCGTGTCGAGGTTGTTGTCGCGAAACATGCGGCGCTCACGCCGAAGAAACACCATCGTCATTGCAGCGAGCGGTGCAGGCGTTCTCCATCGCGCGCACGCAACGTGTGCATTCTTCGTTCTGGAGCCCGCGGATGTTACGCGCACAGTCCTGGCATTTGTCGTACGGAATGCGATATTGCATCCCTCACGACCAGCGCGAGGAGCGCGCGCTCAACATCCATGGCCTCTATGGTGGATCATGTGCACTTTGTGTGCGCGGGATGGAGATGACAGCAACTCTCTCGGGATTGACGCCATAGTCTCTTCGGGGAGGGAGGCTTAAGTGTTGTGGCGAGAACACGAACACGGAACGACGACCCCCTCTTGTTTATGAATACCATACCTCTCACTGCACGCCACGTGGACGGCGGACATCCTTCCCACCGTGGCCACCGCTCGACGCTTAATACCAACAGTGGTCGCGCGCAGCCCATGTGGCATCCGCTTGTCGCTAGCCACCACCGCTGCGACTATTGTCCGTCCATGCTGGCGCAGTTGGCCCCATGATGAACTCGAACCATCAGTCGTGGATTTGCAGTCCAATGCGTCTCCTTTGTGATAACCAACCTCTAATCTCTTTGATGAGAACAACAAACGTGCGAGGGAAGTGTTTCGAAGGGGTTTCTTGTTCTGCTGGGAATAGGCGATTTCGTGTTTGCCTCGACCGCGTGGGAGTGGTTTGCAATGTTCAGCTTGTGATCAACGACCCTTTTTCTTCAATGCCAAGCCAAACAAGAATCGTGGGGGCGGTCGCGTGGAACGAATGAGAGAGAAGCAGAACGGGACACGTAAACCGTGTGCCCCGATGTCCACGTCAGCCATTCCCGCCGTCCCAACCACTTGCGACACATGGCACGACATGATGATAATGATGACGACGGTGATGAACATGATGATGGTGACGATTACAGTGGTGATGTTGATCTGGACGACGATGTCGCTGATGATGATGACGATTTTGATGACGATGATGATGTTGATGATGATGTTGGTGATGATGATGATGGTGATGATGACGATGATGATGATGACGATGATGACGACGATGATGACGATGTTGACGATAACGATGACAAAGAAGATGACGATGGTGGTGATTTTGATGACGGCGACAATGTCGCTGATGATGATGATGTTGTTGATCACGTTGATGATGTTGATGATGATGACGATGACATTGACGATGTTGATGATGATGTTGTTGATGATGATGATGATGTTGATGAAGACGATGATGATCACGATGACAATGATGGCGATGATGATGATGATGATGATGATGATGACGATGATGATGGTGGCGACGATGATGGTGATGATGGAGGCGATGATGATGATGATGATGATGGCGAGCAAGAATCAGAAGGGCCGCTCGCGAGGAAAGAACGAGCGGGAATCAGAAGGGGACACAGAAACCATGTGGCCCAATGTCACCGACATCCTTTCCCTCCGTCCCCGCAACTTGAAACAGGTGGCGCGACGCGGCCGTTCCCGTTGGCCGGCAAACATGCCTGACGCTCGACACGTGGGCAGTCAGAACAACACTTTACCTTGAAAAGGGCACAGCGCGCACGACGGTGCAGCTCTTTGACGGGTCACAGTTCTTCGACGAGGCGCAGTTCTTCGACGACGGCGAAGCGCACACGATGGCGCAACTGTTCGACAAGGGCTCAGCGCAGACGGCGGTGGCCACTCGTTGACGCAGGACTCAAAGACGAGATGTTGAAGCGCAAACAACCGAAGCACAGACGACAGTTGTCGACGAGAGGAAACCCCTGCGCCCACGCCCGCCGCCGCCTGGCGCAACAACGGAGCAAAAAAGGCGATGAAGGATGTCGCTGACGGGACGTCGCGCGCGAATGCGCTTGTCGGGCTCGAGATGCGAAAGGGCTGCCCCAGACCCGAGGCAACTGAGCCTCAGACTGTCGTCGCACCCCATGGAAAGACCCGCCTGTGTCCCCCTGCACGGCCACAGACCCCGCTCGCCAGCCAGGAGACGCGAATGGCCGCAACCCCTCCAACCTCCCCTTTCCCCTAGCCCCCCTGCCCCTCCCCCCTCACCCCTGGAAAGTACAAACTGCCCCCCCGCGACACCTGAGACCCCCTCCACCGGGGACCGCGAACCCGAAGACACGAACGCGAGGGGCCCTGAACAAGGGCCCGTTTTCCAATGACGTTCGGGAAGGGCTTAGCCCGTAGGGACGTTTTTGTCACATTTCGACGCACTAGGCCCCCCTCGCGACAATTTCGACGTGCAGCCACCGTTCGATGCGCGGATCGAACAGTCGCGCGTCGGCGCGCGGACCCTGCACGGAAATCCGAAACGGAAGGCCCGAGGGGGCCTTGTGTCCCGAGCGCCTACAAATACGAGCGGTGCCCTGGGCATTGACGATGCGTTCTGCGTTTTTGCTGGGGAGATGCTGCCCGACGGAAGCCACGCACCGCCACTGTCGTCAACAGTTGGCGCGCCATAGATGGCACAGCCATTCTTCACCGTGCACGTTTCGTGCCACCGACGCACCCCGCATGCCCTCGCATGTCCCCTCGCCTACCAAGTCGCTGTCCACGTCATATTCGATGTCGCTTTCGATCTCCTTTCTCGAAAGGCGTGCCTGCCACCCCACGCAGCACCCTAGTAAACGCGAAGCGCACGCCCAAAGGTGGACAGAGTGCCGTGACAATAAGCGTCGGGGTTTGCCCTCATCTTCACTCCGCAGGTCCACACGGTGAGTGCGCATGCAGCCGAGACGTATGTGCGCATGTGCGGGGGAGGTTTTTTGTGACGATATGCTCGCGCTGATCGAAAGATTTGGTGGCTGCATGTGTGCGGGTGGGCGTGTGTGTGTGTGTGTGTTTGTGTGCGATTGTGTGTTTGTGCATGCTTCATTGTGTGTGTGTGTGTTCGAGTGCGTGTTCCTTTATGTTTGTGTTTGTATTAAAGTGTGTGCCACACGCGCGACGCAGGATCGTGCGCGCGTCTGTACCTGAGGGGCGTGTGTGTGTGGGCGCCGTTTGTCGGCGTGTGTGTGTGTGTGTGTGTGTGTGTGTGTGTGTGTGTGTGTGTGTGTGTGTGTGTGTGTGTGTGTGTGTGTGTGCGTTTGTGAGCCTGTCTATGCATATTTGTTCGCGTGCGTGTGTGTTCGCGCACATTTTTCGCCGTGAGATGCTCGCGAACGTGCGCGGTCAGGGATAAACATCACGGTTTTCCCTTCGATTCCGCTTCTGCTGCAATCAAGAACGAACGACGCACGTGTGTGTGGATGTGTGAGGAAAGTATCAAAAAATGATTGCGCTCGTGCTGTACTCAAGTGGCGAAGCACGGAAGCTCAGATCGAACACATGGCGGCCAATAACGAAACACAACCTCATCGATAGCACTTGCCATACCCGATTGGTTTTGTGCGCTGTCCCAATTTCATGCCCGCTGATCTGCCCAATGGATGATCAATCGAAACACGCGGTGGCAATGTCGACACACCGAACGCATCCATCGACCAATCGCGAAACACCATGAGATCACTCGCGATCGGATGATTGATCGTGTCTATCGTGTCGACGTTACCACCGCGTGTGTGTTGTTCGTTCTGTCCTGTGTGTTCAGATCACTCGTGGGGCGTGTTTGCGGCTGGCCTGCGGGCCGGTAGATGTGAACACCGATGAAGCCGGCCACCTCAAATCGGATCTTTGGCCATACGCTCCGTCTCCGTGCCCGTGTGTGTCGTCGGGCATGTGCGCGTGGTGTGTGGTGTGCAGGTTGCATGATGGAGGGGACCTTCTCGACACCACGCATCTTTGAGTTGATCTTCTCGACACCACAGGCCATGAGTGCCGAGACGCACATTCGCTTAGCATAACCTTTTCGTCCTTGTGCGAAATTTGTGCGGCATTTCAACGGTGTGACAACGATCCACGGAGCGACTGCAGAGGACTTCGATGAGGACCCATGAATGACCGTCGTCCCGTGCATGGACGCGCATCTTGTCGACTGGGGCGAGGGCAATTGGGACAATATGGAGAATCACTGCCCTTGGGCAAGCCAGTACAAGTT